TGTATTATTTAATTTTAGCCTCTTTATCCTACATTTAGTGTTCCCGTTTTTAAGTTTTACACATAAATGGGATTTCGTGGTAAAGCAATTCCTGGGATTGGTGGTTCCCCTGGGTTCATAGATATTTCAAAAATACATCAATTCTTGAATTTTTCTGCTTTGGCTTAATCTTCATTATAGTTAAAATAAGATTGTATTTTTGTGTCATTTATCAAGATTTAGTTAAATTTACTATGCGTGTTTGAATATGAAGAACGTATAAGGCATTATAGTGTATAAAGCATAACATTATGCAAAAGAAAGTATAAATACGCTATTTTTTATGACACGAAAAGATGGCCACAGTATTTTCTTTTTCTTTTGTAAATGAATTTTGACTTTCCAACACCCAACATTTACTCTCATTTAATTAGCTGGATAGGTCTCGAACATATTCTCTTGATGAATTTTGTGAAGAACAGTTACAGCAAGCGACCCAAGCATTGAAACAACTTGAGGATATCAGGGGTAAAGCTATTTCAGAAATGAAAAGTACATTTTTAAAGGTAATTCTTTCATTCTATCCTCTTAATTTATCAGCGTGTATGTACTAACTAAAGCACTTGCTCCAAATTGCACCCCTGGAAAAGGTGTTAGAAATGGGCAGGTAGAGGGACAAAGGTGGTTAATTAATGAGCCAGCCAGCTAGTACTGTGTATTTACCAGGCACAGTGCAAGAATTCTTCCAGGCGCTGTGTAGAGTGCAAATATATGTGCCTACAAGTATATGTGTGTGTAATAAAAATGAATATATATGTATATTTATGTATATACCTTCAAGATGCTAAAATATAACTTGATCTGACATATAAAAGGAAACATTTATTGTGTTATTTTGAAGTTCAGTGTTCATAAGACAATCACATTGCTCAGGAGAAATATAACTAGATGAGATAAAACGTCCCTAATGATTTTACAAAAAGGGCTGGATGAACAATGTTCCCAGAACATTCTTATCAAATGTGCTATGACTCACTTCACAGGATTACTTTATACAGCTCCCCTATATAGGGAACGACAGGGCATGGAACATAGTTCTTAAATGCAGTTTGGTAAGGGAGTAACGCGATATCAACTAGTTATTCACTCTGCTGGTTTGGCTGAATCCAGATGGATATTTGAGGATCTCTGGAGGGATCAATGGACTGGGTCTCCCTCAACCAATTTTCAAATGTTATTTCTCTCACTTGAACTTTTGATAGATACTGGGTAACAATGTGTTCAAGGCTTCTTGACAGGAAGATGGACTGCAGCTATTTTAAGTCCACAAAGTAAAGCCTTAGTCCTTATCTTATTCCTCATAGTCCTCCTAACCTCCCAAAGCCCAGTCATGTGTAGACGGACTCTGGGACAATTGGGCCAAGGATAGTATACATCAGAAAGGGGTTAACAAAACATAATGTAGGCCTATGAGATAGTAGTAAAATAGTACTCCCTGGAGTCATTCTACTTTCTCCCTTTCAGCATCACTAGGATCTGGTTGGTCATAAGTATTTGTTACGGGGTTTCCATTTAAATCAGTTTCTGATAAGAAACTATTTGACCTACTGCCAGTCCTGTTGTTGAAATCAGTAGGTTGTCTTTTTGTTTCGTNGGTCATTTTTGTACCGCCATCTGTTTTGGGCTGATGAGTTATTTCAGGGCTGTTTGCTTTCCATAAAGGGACTTTGTGAAGATGCAGTTAATCTCAAAAATGGTAACAAATATGAGGATAATCCATCTGCCATATGCCTTGTAAAGGTGGGTAGAAGTATACTATAAGCTAATATTGGTATATATTAGGTAGGAAATAGCTATATAGCATATGCCGGCTAGTTTACATATGTATAAAGAACACAAGGAGTTTCAAATCAAAGAAATACAGATATGGATATCCATAGGTAAACCGCCCCTATGGCTGACTAATGTTCTAAAATACCTGCAAAGAACATTATTCCCGTGGGCAGTCCATTTTAACAGTTAACAATGTTCCTTATAAATAATTTCTTCCTTATACTTAACCTAGGTCTCTTATAAGGCCTTTTATTTCCAAATGTGCAATATTATTTATAAATAATTAATTATCTCTAATACATAATTGATAGTAGCTAATCCTCTCTCAGTATAGCATGCCGAGAAATTGTCGTAAGTTGCAACTGAGAGGTTTTGGTTAAATTTATGAATTCTCCTGTTCCATAATTCTAAGAAAGGGTGACAGTCTTAATGAATGATTTAATTTAATTTATATAGAATAGTTATTTCAAAGAGGTTAAGTATATAGAACTATAAATTTTAAGTGTTTCATACACAGTCGACCAGGATTCCAGCAGCTTAGCCATTGTGTGAGGGAGATGCTGAAAGTAAAATTGATAGTCATCTAGACTTAGGAAGAGAGCTAGTGAAAGGGCTCCAACAAATTATACATTTGACAATCAACTTAAAAATTAATTGTGCTAACTGTACACATGTAACAAAATTAATGCTTGTAAATCAACAGATTANTCTCCTGGCAAGGGCAGCTCTTTCTAGCTGGGAGCTCCCTCTTGGTGCAGAGCAGTGCCCGCTCGAGGTGGGATCATGCAGGCAAATCAAAGCTGTCTTCCTTCCCTTTTTGTGTGTCATTCTCAGGGTTTTTGTTCTACTGTGTTGCTGCAGCTTCTTAAGTAGACTCCAGAGCTCTTCCATAGCTGAGATGTTGTTTTTGTTGTGTGTGTATGTGTGGATGTCTGTCTAATTGTTGATCTTTGTGGGGAGACAGAGGCTGGGTTTTCCTCCACTGCCATCTTGAATTTCTAAAACTGAAATGTCTACCTACTCTGTGGCCAAACTCTAGGCTAGTGGTTCTCAAGTAGGCTGCACACTAGAGTCACTTCGGGGGTGGGGGCTTATAATAAACATTGATATCTAGGACCACCCTAGACCAATTAAGTCAGAATTTCGGATGTTAGAGCCCAGGCAGCACTAGAAAAGCTCCTCAAGTGAATCTAAAGTATAGCTTGGTTGAAAAGCATTCTTCTGGGCAATGTTCAGGATTCCCTAGTGTGGGAAAATGTAGCACAGGTATGAAACAGATGGAACAGAAACTGAGAGCCACCATCAGTGATGTAAACAGCATTGAGATGTGCCTGACCTCAAATATATCCTGTGATGACAGAAAAATAGGTGAGTCTGTCAAAAGCCCGACTTCCATCAGTCTCACCAATATTCAATAAAAAGACCACCATTACCAGGCCTATCACTGTATACTTTTGTACTGATACAGTTGTTTAAAAGCTATTTAAAACTGTTTTAGTAGCAATGAACAGTCTTTATTTTGAATAGTTAATAGGCTCTACTTCACCATTTTACCAATTTAAAAACCCATGCATTATGCATGTAAACTTTTCAAATCAGGTGACCACTCGTGGGAAAACATAACCTTTTCAATAAAAGCATAACCTATTAAAAATGAGTATTCCATTTGTCAGGCCCTGGGTGGTTGTGCCCATAACTGGTATAGGAATTACTCTGTCTTTTTTGAACCCAGTTTCTTCAAACAACTGTTGTATCAGCAAAGAACTTCATCCATCATGTTGGTAAACCAACCCTCCAGAGAATCAGCCATATTGGAAAACATTTGCCAAATTGGCAAACAACTGTCCTAATGAATTTTAAAAAGAAAATACAAATGAATAAAAATGAAACATGAAGAGAGGCAACATTAAAAAAAAAACTAATGCAATTATGTTTTTAAAAATTAGAACACAAGTTGAAAGGATGACTGTTTACCAAGGATTTAAGTGTCAGTGGAGCAAAAAATAAAAAGCGTGAACAACCAATAAAAGAACAAAAATTGGAAATATTTTTAGAATTTTAAAGGTCCATGAGTAATAAAAGGT